CTCTCTCTCTCTCTCTCTCTCACACACACACACACACACACACTCTCTCTCACTCTCGTTATCTCTTCTCTCTCTCTTTCTCACATGCACGCTTGTGTGCATATGCTTGCTTGCTTTCTCTCTCCCTTCATACCTGTGCACTCCCTCTCCCTCCCTCCCTCTCTCCCCACCTCCGCTTGCACAGACATACATGCATTGCTCCTGATGTTTCATGAGAATTCCTGGTAATTGCTGTTTGACGTAGTTTTTTCTTGAATCCCCTGCTGTCATGTGGTGCTCCATAGAGCTGCTGTGGTTGAGAGGCCCATGGGGCTCTGGCTTTCAGAGGAAATGGGTAGGGAAAGGCCAGGGTTCGACAGGGTACTTCTGACTAGAATACAACAAAAGACCTATTGGTATGTGTGTCAGTGTTATCATGTTGGCGTTTAAAGACACGGTCATGTTTCCGTTCTTGTCTCTGTTTCAGGGTGCGACAGGCTATTTAAAGAACCTTCTTTTTTTTCTCTTAGAAGTGAGTAGGATTTCTGAAGTTCTGACATGGTCATCTTTCCGTTCTTGTCGCTGTTTTTCTTTTTTTTTGTGGGCGGTTCAGGTTGACAAGGATGATGCCAATCCTGACAGGGTTAGGCAGGAACTTTCTGGGCATGGCCTGATGCCTGAGGAGTGGGGAGGTGACGTACCAATGGTGCCGGTAAGTTCTTGTGACTCTTTTTTTTTTTTTTTTTCCTTTCTCTTTTCTGTAGTCCTTGGAACATTACTTACAGCATAATCAAAATGAAAATCTTGTTGTTTTGTATGGTTGTACCATATAGTCTTATGCTTTTCTGTCCGCCGTGTCGTTGTCGTGAAAGGAAAACATATTCCGTTTGCATCCATCTTATGCAGTGCAGTGTGCCGACCATTGCTGGAATTGGAAGACATATATATTATATTCTTTGTTTGTCTGCTCTCCATCTCTCCTCCCTGTGTTTATCCCCTCCCCCTTCAGTCTGCCTCTTTCTCACAACGTACAAGTGGGCTGTTATGGCACACGGGGATGGGGGCAGCTTGCACTCAACTTCATCAACGTGGCGAGCCTTGTATGTGAGACGCACGGTGAAAGGGGAGTCAAAAGAAGAATGAATAAAATGAATGGTTTCACTGTGCCCTTCATGTTTGTCTTTTTCTTTTTTTTTTTCTTTTTTTTTTTTGCCAATTGTTTCGCAAATTGCGCTCTTTTAGTTCATAATTATGTGACAATATATATACATACAGTATGGTACACATATACACAGCCTCTCGTTTGTTGTCCTCTTCTCCCTCTCTGCCTACGGTTTTCCAGGCAGCTCTGTTTGACAATATATATCTATGAAATTAGTATGAATGGATCTGTATATATATCTCCAAGAAAAGTCTAGACTACGATGCCACATGTCACGATTTCCCACATGGTGCCCCCCCGTCCATCCACCCCCACCATCCCCTTTCTGTAGGTGTCTGTGGCCATGGCTCTTGCAGCGCGATATCGTGTGTTGGACCATGTTATTGTACGGCTTCGAGCTGGTTATCACGCAGCACAAGCCCCCACCACCACCCAACCTCTCACAGATTAAGTAATATATAATATAATTAAAAAAAAGCACTCAACTTCTCACAGATTAATATAAAAAACGCATACACGTGCGTGTTTTTGGGTTGCATGCGCGTACAGGAGTACGTACATGTTATGTGTCACATGCACACTTACACGATGCAGCACATGCAGACATGTATGCGGCTTTTTCAGTTTTCTTGGAGTGATTGCTCTGAAATCAAAAGCCCTCTTCTTCCGTAGTTGAGTGTTGGACGTACAGATGGAGCAGCTTCTGTATTTCCTTCCTCGAAGGTCTTTTTTGGGCAACACAATCACCTGCTCACCTTGCATGGCACTCTGTTTGGTTAGCTGGACTGATGGGTCCGAGTTGTATGATGCAGGTAAGTGCGTGGACAGGAGAAGGTGTGGAGCTGCTTCTTGAGACCGTTGTGATCGTGGCTGAGGTATGGTCTCTAGTCACCCCTGCCTTCAGTGCCTTGTATTTTGAACTCAAAACCGTGGAACTGCGGAAGAGACTCGAAAGCTACTTTCTTCTTCTGTTTTTTTGTAACTTTTTACTAAATCTTCTTCTAAAGAGGATAAAATGTTTGTTGTGAAGGTCAACTATTCTTAAAGTTAGCAAAGCAGCTTGTTGTCTGAACGAGTTGAAGGACGAACTAGTTCGCATACTGATGTGCTGAGACCATACTTGCAAGGGCATTTGGCTGTGCGAGCGCACCGGATCCGTGCGATGCATGGCATGTGCGGCGCACGGGGGAAATAGGCACCCGGAGAAAAAAGGGGTTGCAGGCCTGGATCAGTGGTCACCTGCTCGCCCTTCAAAAATTTGTTGTAGGGTGGAAAAAGGAAAAAAAAAGAATCAAGTTGGGAGAGCAATGTCAACAGTTAACGGGCGAGACTGATGTCCCAAAGACCTATTTGAGGGTATTTATGGTTCCCCATGGGACAAAAAGTTAGATCTGTACAACAGCGTCTGTTCCTGTGGTAGTACACTCTTCTGTATCTACTAAAATAGAAAAAAAAAAACAGAGATTATTGCTGGTGTGGCGCACGGGCAGGTGCCGCGCAGCGGACTTCACCGCACGGCCGTGCGGCCTGTGCCATTGCAAGTATGGCTGAGACACATTATTTTTTGTCTAGGCTTCGTTAGTGTTCAACAACAATCCTTCCCCAAGGATTCAAGTTACCTTTCCTATTTCCTGCTTGTTATACGCCTGCTTACTTTCTCACTATCCTTAGTCATTGTATTCATATATGCGAGATTACATGGCATGAAGAGTGGAGAACGCAAGAGACAAAAAGACGAGATAAATTTTCACGCTTTTATGCAAACATGAACTTCTCCGGCATTCATCACCTCCCACTTCTAGTGTTCCTTCATTAGGGTGTTGACTGGTGGACCAAGGGTGACTGAGAAAACTCCCCAAGAAGTTCTCTCTCTCTCCTGTCTCTTATACACATCTAGATGTGTATAAGAGACAGCATAAAGACAGAAAAGCATCCTTTTTACTTGTTGATGAATGTGCATCTGTCAACGCTGTATCAGTTGTGGGCCTTGTGGTGCTTTTCTTTTTCTTTTCTTTTCTTTTGCCCTTTCCTCTTTTTTTTTTTCCTTTTCTTTCTTTGGTTCCCCTCCTGAAAGAGTGCACATAAGAAGGCAATGGTTGCTTTGTGTTTGGTGATGAATCTGTGTCTTTATCTGACATTTCATGTCTTCTCATTGGTGGGTGGCCACTCTTTCTGTATCTGATGCAGACCTCTCTGCTGGATTTCATCAGAAAAACGAAGGTGAGTTAGATATAATCCCCTTAAGGACTTGGCCTTCTTATCCATTCGGTCTTTGTGCTTCAGTCACCATCAAAACAATGAAATCACTCTCATTCCCTCTCTCTCTCTCTCTCTCTCTCTCTCTCTCTCTCTCTCTCTCTCTCTCTCTCTACCTTTTTCTCTCAAATGGACAACTCGGATGGCATTGCTGATCAAAAGTGCGGCAGCTGCCTTTGCCTTATATACTGTTAAAGTGCTGCCTTTGAGGCAGGGCCCACTGGTGCTATGTTCATGCTTGCTTCGAAAGCATGCACCTGGCTGTAATTGCAGCCACGTTCCTGCTTTCCTAACATGCACATAGCAGCAATGGGGTGTGGCCCTCTTGTGTTCAGTCTGTGGGAATCGCAAGTACTATACAGACTACAAAAGAGTCTCAGATTTGCATGCGTTTATCTGTTGCTGATCTGTCTGCAAGCCTATCAGTTTGTTCACTTGCGTTCCTTCAATGATATGATAATATTATGGTCTCATCATCATCTTGCCCAATTTATGCCGATGTCTGTGTGCGATGACAGGTGGCTGCTGGCGAAGCTGGTGGGATCACACAGAGTATTGGAGCTTACAGAGTATCTGTTGAGGTCGATGGGAATGCTCAGACATGTGTGTTCTTGGACACCCCAGGTCATGAGGTGAGTGTGTGTGTGNCTCTCTCTCTCTCTCTCTCTCTCTCTCTCTCTCTCTCTCTCTCTCTCTCTCTCTGTGTGTGTGTGTGTGTGTGTGTGTGTGTGTCTGTCTCTCTGGGTCTTTCTTCGTCTTTCTGTGTCTGTGTCTCTATGTGCCTGTGTCTGTGTCTCTCTGTGTCTGTGCCTGTGTCTGTGTCTCTATGTGCCTGTGTCTGTGTCGCTCTGTGTCTGTGCCTGTCTGGTTCTCTCTGTGTCTGTGCATGTGCCTGTGCCGGTGTCTGTCTGTCTGTCTATCTCTCCCTTTCCCCCTCTCCGATTTTAACCTTCTCTTCTGGCATTGTCGCTTTGTATTCTGCTATTTCACTTACTGATCTAACTCTGGCAAACCCCAGAAATTGCACTTAACTACCCTTGATGCTCAAAACCTGCGGGTTGTCGTCTTCTTTTTCTTTTTTCTTTTTTCTTTTTTCTTTTTTTGGAAGTAAAACACGACATCAGGGTGGTCATGGAACCCTTCAATTTCTTTCCTTTCTGTTTTGTTCCTTCTTTTTTTTCTTGTGCTGTTTCTTCGTTATTGGGGTTGCCGAGACACTCTTGTAAAAGTTGTTACACAGTTCCCGTGGTATGGCGAACTCCGCTGCCCGGCGTGAAGAAAGGCAGGCGGCCTTCACAGAGATTGAAAGATGGTCATGATTGTCCTTTTCTTAGGCTGGGACACATATTACGTCTAATGGGCTCTTCCCCTTTTGATACATAGCATACATGCAAGCGCACGCCATACGGAAAATTCCACACAGTCCGGCGCAGGGGGGAAATATTCACTCAAAAAAAAAAAAAGAAGGTCACATGCCTGGGACAATGGTTACCTGCATCACCTTTGAAGATTTGTTGTGGGATGGAAAAAAAAAACAAAAACTAGTGGGAGAGTAATGTCGCTACCTAAAGGTGAAGACTGATGTCTCAGATACCTATTTGAGGTTATGTACAGATACCTATTTGAGGTTATGTATCATGCCGAATTGGACGGAAAGAAAAATATGTACGACTGTACTTCAAAAAGATCTGTTCCTTAGGTGGTGCACTCTTCTGTATCTACAAAAACAGCAAAAAAAGGAAAAAAAAAGGGAAACTGCCGCTGGCATGGCGGAAGAGCATGTGCCATGCTGCATGCCGTACGGCGCACAGTGCAGTTGCAAGTATGATACATAGGCTCCGTTTATTATGTCTAAGTGGGTTCTATTTATTGTGTCAAATTGTTCCTTTTTAATTATTTTTCTTTTTCGAAAAACACACTCCCCTTCTGTTCTGGGGGTCCTCAGTCCGGTTGCTTATCACCGGCGAGCATCTGTGTCGATTTGTTCCTGCAACGTCTGTTTCCCCCCGCCCCTCCTCTTGCTGTCATTTTCGTGTGGATAAGAGACCAACTAAAACGCATTGGCTTTTTGCATTTCATTGGCGTGTCGTTGAGCAGTTGCAAGAGCTGAAAGCGAACCCCAACCGTAAAGCAAAGGGTACCGTAATTGAAGCAAGCTTGGATAAATCGAAGGGAGCACTTGCGACCCTTCTGGTGCAGACGGGAACAGTAAAGAAAGGAGACGTTCTCCTATGCAGTGAGGTTTTTGGCAAGGTGAGGGGAGATTGCATCTGTGGCCAGGGATCCTACTCCCTTTAGACATTGTGGTAATAGTCATGCGGTTTGGTCGGGAATGTTCTACACATGAATGACAATGTTTGTGCGAAAGACTCCTTGTATCGAATCCATACTCTTATCGGCTACTGGACAGCAAGAATGTGTTCATAGCCTACGTCACTCCGCAAGTTGGCTTCGTTTCTTTGGCAGTAGATTGATGTTCTGTTATTAAAAAAAAGAAAAAGAAATTGATGTTATGTTGCCTATTTGGAAACTAAAATCGAATTGATTTGAAAACCACGAACCGCTAACTTGTCCTTGATGACAAACGTTCTGCCACGGACGGTAATGTAAGCGGAAAGGCTCTTCGTGATTTGGTTTATGACTTGCGACTTGAAAACTTGAAACTCGAGAAGGAATTCATTCATAGAAATATAGCTCTGCAAGCAGGACTCTAGGTGGCGGTTTATAGTACTTTAAGTTTATACTGGATATTATATAATGACGGACAACAATTTTATTTGATTAAAAAAAAAAAAAAAAAACAGAACCTTCTGGTCCTGGCTCCTACCATTCTGCGGAGCAACAGTCCGGTTCCTATTCCCCCAGGGAAAGTCTAAGATGAATACAAGAATGACACACGCACGCTCCTCTGTCTTAGGAATTTAAAACGCAAGCGATTTGTGTCTGGACTCTGGGATTCTATGTGGTGATTTGTGAGGACATATATGCGTGACTTTGCTACCTCCTGGTCCTCCTCCCTGTCCATTTTCCTCTCGGCAGGTGATGAGCACCAGTGCGTGGGTTTTGATTTTTCGGGGGGGGGGGGGGGGGGGGGGGCATTACTGGTTGGGATACCGTGTGAGTGACTATGCCAGCTTTATGCCTGTAGTGTATGCTGTGCTTGTGACAGATGTCTACCCTCAAGCCTAGTGATCCCTCTCTGAATGCCTGTGACTCTCTCTCCCTCTACGATCATGGCTATGGCACTGCACACGGTTGAGTCCTCTTATGCTCAACTTCCCCTCCTCTCTCATCCTGCTTGGTCGCACAACAGCGCAGGAGCGCTTCCACAACAGTCGCAAATGGAATTTTGTTGACACTGGCTGGGATTAACTTTTTGTACTTGCTGCGGTTCCGAAATCAGACTTGTGACATCAGTCCCTGTTTTCCTTGGCCGCGGCCGGCCTCAATGATTTCGACCATCGTAGGAGTTTCCTGTGACTGAGCTGCGACTGACTGGGACTTGTCAGACGACTGGTACCTGACCACTGGCTCCCATGAACCCTAGCCTACAGGTTTCTGTTTGGCGTATTGTACGGTACCTTCCAGCAGAAGTTTCTACCACGGGCCTAGTGTTTGGGTTTATTGTAGAGGGCAGGGTTGCATACCTGCCGACCGCCGCCCGTATTGCAGCTTGGGCCGACCGGTCGGCGGTCTGCCAACCAGTCAGAAAACAACCATCCAGTGGCATCCACTGATTTTTTTTCAAATGTACTGCGCTTGCTGAGTACAGCCCAAATCTGCTGAGAAACTTTTGGGGATGGGGGGGGTTATAGGGGTGGTATAGGGGGTATTGGG